AGGAGTAGTATTTTTAGCGGCAAAAAAAGCTCTAATGCTGAAAAGCACAGTAAAACACGGTAAAACGCAGCAAACCAAAGTTTTTGGATTTTTTTTGAGCAAAAAAAAAAATTATTTGGGTAAACATAACGCTAAAAAACACAAATGTGGATAAATCATGACAAAATGCCGCTAAATGCTAATGCAAAAGAAGGCTGAAAGACATGCATTTTTAACTTTACTTTACCCAGCTAATGCTACCAGCAATATTAAAACTCCCACTGTGCATGGAAGTCTTGAGCTACCAGAAGCATATGCATGTTTCACATCAATAGAGAATGTCAATTGTTTTTGTTCAGGAAATCAGCTAAGATTATATGAATACATATTATATGGATGAAACCATGCATTTTCCAAAATATAGAAGTAATATTTGCAATATTTACAATAATTGCAAATTTACGGTAATCCTAGTTTGACCTCCCCAAACAATTTCAAGGTCAGTGATCCCCCTCATTGTCAGGCCAGTCAAAAATCATACCTCACATCTTTCTGGGATGGGAAAAACCAAGTCAGCAATGAAGAAATGTTCATTAAACCCATTGATGCACTTTTTAACACAACTTTAACATTTGAAAAGAACACATACATTAAATTAGATGCTGGAAGCAAGTTTAATGTAATATAACACTTTTGTTAAAGTGTTTCTAAAGTTAAATATTTTTTTCCTAGGTTTTGTTTAGAGTGGTGAGTGGTTAGAACTCTCATTAGGTTATGTCTCTCTCTATTTTTCCTGGTGACCACTACAAATGAAGGAAAATCCCAAATCTTTGAGTTGTCAAGAGAACAGTTGTCTGGGGATCAAAAAAACAGAGTTGGTGAGCGCTTGAATAGATACACAGCAGCTGTACACCAAAAAAGGCACCATATACAACCTTCAGAAACGTAAATATTCAAAAGAGGGGGAGGTGCAGCGCTATACAAAATAACAGACAATAATGAAATTAAAAGTCAAATTCATATAATAGATAGTGACTGTGTGCTAATAAAATAAAGCCACTGGATGGTGGCTATAAAGTGAAAGAAGTGCAAGATAAATAGATAAAAGAGTCCAATGAAGGGGTGCTCTTAAGATCCAAGATGATCGTCAGACATCCAATGATTGGTGATAAGTAATGTAAGGATTGCGCACTCACCAGATACGCAATCTTTATGCACATTTGTATATAAAATCACTGGACCTCTGGTGTCATCAAATTGGTTTGGTCAGATCTGGTCACATGGCTTTTGCTGCCTGGCACTCGGATAGATGCGGCTGCTCTGTAGATCTGACTGGTTTTCACCAGAGCTCAAATAAACAGAGAAGGCCACATAGTGTAATATCCTTGAGGTATTTTATTTAATATACAGGCACAGGATAGCAGAGACAATTCAATCAATAAAAAGATTTACTGACCCAGATGTAAACAAACGCCGGCGGCATGACGTCCAACCTAGGGAAAGCTACAGTAGGTTGGACGCCACGCCGCCGGCGCCACGAGGGGTCCCGGCAGCCATCTTTTTTTACATCTGGGTCAGTAAATCTTTTTATTGATTGCATTGTCTCTGCTATCCTGTGCCTGTATACTAAATAAAATACCTCAAGGATATTACACTATGTGGCCTTCTTTGTTTATTTGAGCTCTGGTGAAAACCAGCCAGATCTACAGAGCAGCCACATCTATCCGAGTGCCAGGCAGAAAAAGCCATGTGACCAGATCTGACCAGACCAATTTGATGACACCAGAGGTCCAGTGATTTTATATACAAATGCGCATAAAGATTGCGTATCTGGTGAGTGCGCAATCCTTACATTACTTATCACCTGGCTGTTCCAATCATTGGACGTCTGAGGATCATCTTGGATCTTAAGAGCACCCCTTCATTGGACTCTTTTATCTATTTATCTTGCACTTCTTTCACTTTATGGCCACCATCCAGTGGCTTTATGTTATTAGCACACAGTCACTATCTATTATATGAATTTGACTTTTAATTTCATTATTGTCTGTTATTTTGTATAGCTCTGCACCTCCCCCTCTTTTTGAATAGTTGTCTGGGGATGACTATCTAAGAGGGAATTTCTTCGCACTTCCTGTTGTATCAATAGGACAAGAAGTGAAAAAAAATCTCATCAATGGGACACAGATGGAAAAAAAACTGAAATGGATTTTTTAACCACTCCCTATCCTATCCAGATTGAAAAAAACAGTTTTGGCTATATATATACTTTATTTTCAATAGTTTTTATTGAAGGGGTTTTATAACATAACATAGCATGTAAGTACGGTTCATTATCAAGTATAGCAGTACAACTTGGTATGAAATATGTTCCCCACCAGTTGGCTTGGGGTAATGGTGACGATATAAATATACTTTAGATAACTTGTACATTCCTTTACAGAGGTCACACCAGAGCAAAAAGTGAGACAGTTGAAGAGGAAATAGTAGCAGAGGTGTTTACATTCAATAAAAAGAGTTGGGATCTATGAAACACGAATGTGTGTTGAGTCAATTTATATAACTGTTATATGTTCAGCCATCTTTGAGAGCTAAGGAAAGGAACAAATAGGGAAGAAAATGGCAAAACAAAATTTACAGAAACTAGTAGCATTATGGTTTCTTTAAAGAATAGGTTTTATTAAAATTTTCATACAGTCCAAAAAGAACACATGTACAGTTGGAAAAGTCTTTTCAGTGCCAAAGATTTTGTTACATTTCCATAGTCTTGCAAGTATAGCAAAAACACAAAAAGAAGCATGATCCACACATGACTGTACAACTTGTGGTCTCATTGCCTTTTTAAAAAATTAAAAGGGCTATGTTGCTATACAATCACATGCTTGTGTAAGTATGCAAGGTTAGGAAATATGTATAAGCAAAGAAAAGCCGGAATTCCGCTGTATGCTCTGCAATCATGCGTTTATTGGCGGCCACAAATGTCAACACGTTTCAGCCAAACTGGCCTTATTCATGGATGTAGTAGCACCTACTTTCATGTATTAGGTTTGGAGATATTTTTCTTGAATGTGAGAAGATAAGTAACTGATTGATAAGTCTATGTAGTTTGTAGTTAGGTTTGGTTCTGAAGTCTGGAACCACTTTTATTTTTGGCTGTTTCGGACACCAAGTCTTGCACTAGCACTTTGTTCAGTCTCCAAGAGAAGAGAGAGGTTTGGATGTATGAGGGGAGTGACAGTAAAGAAGATAGGGACATGATCCAACCATAGTTGCGAAGCTATATGTGCCTTGGGGAGCCAACTAAGCATACAGTGTAATATCAGGAACTACGTAATCCAGTCTACTGTATGAGGAGTGTGTGCACAGATGACAAGTCTAATCCCTAGTATTAAGTTATAAGACATGCCATAAGTCAATCAATTGTAAATCATGTAGTTGACATTTTGATCTATGTAGTTGAGCTAAAGATGTATGTGATTCAGTGGCCATAGTATCTAAAATGAGTTCTACCACCAAATGCATGTAAACTTATAAAATAGTAACTCCATCCATAAAGGTACTAAGCTTTCAAAGGAACCCCTTATAATGGTTATTTTACCCTGCTTTGGTAAATAAGCATTCAATAGTGTAAACAGATGGTCATAGAATTTGCATTTCATAACTATAAATCTTCATCATCTTGAAGTTCGCATACAGTACATCAAAGATTGGGAGAGTGGAATGTAGTCCTATTACTATGGCTCTGGAGTTTTGCTAGTAAGAGTATTGGTAACATATCAACTAACATAATGTTTTGAGGGCATGTGCAGTACACACTTTTCTTTAAACTGTGTCTCCAGTAGAAACAATATGTGAATTCATTGTTTGTGCATGTTATAAAGTACTTGGGAACCTTTCTGCAGAACACTCAATCATCTCACATTAAGAGAAGCAAATTTTAAGTCTTGTCTTTGTGAAGTAAAAAAGGGAGGTCTACTTGGAAACTTAGAGGTATGAGGACCTCGTTGAGCCTCTGAGCAGGAAAACATGAGGCAGAAATGGGAAGGTGACACACACGAACAAATCTGTGGGTATTACTAGAGTGCGGGGGGTTACACGTTGCTAGTGGGGGGTCCAACTTACTCTAAGAGGAAGTAGTAAAGTTATAGGGATAGGGTGGAAGAAGTGAAAAGGTTAGGGAAAAGCTGAGAAAAAGAAGATCTTTTCACAGTAGACTCCAGTTGTCAAAGGCTGGGGCAGAAACCTATCTGTGGAAGAAGTCTGTAGGGCAACATAAACACTTGAGTTTTAGGGGTAAACTCTATGTAATTAAATATAATCAGGGAAAGAAGAGGTCTTAAAATGAGCAGATGTTTCATCTCCCATGTGAGCCATGAGGCCAGAGGGGGTGAAAAAGGTACCACTGAGGTTAGCACCGCACAAGTTTAAACAGTATTGAGCAAAATAGTTTTATGGGTGTTATGATTTTATGTAGTAGTTGATGTTATGTTCAGGTCCAAAGTATGCCTTTAAATGCAAACTTTTAATCTTCTATTACCAAAGCTAATCATCCTGCACAAAAGCCATAGGCAAGCGGAATTTTTAATATTTCACATTTATATAACATTTCACTCTTAATAACTGTAGTTTTGTCTTCATATATGATATCTCTGACATGTGGTGCTGTGGAAAATATAATGTATATTTAAAAACACAGTGGTGGTGTTGACAAGGATTTTTCAGCTCTTCTGTCCCTTTGGATATGTTTTAACTATTGATCAAATGATGGTTCCAAAGGCAGCCACAGACGTCTTCATCTTCCTCAAGCATTACTATGACTTTAAAACAAAAATTTCTAATGCAACATATTTCTGACAGCTGACACAATTACCTATTATTCTACATGCTAGATGAGAGTCATAATTGATCTTCAGATTGTTTGGAAAACTAGTGCATAACAGGTGTAGAACAAATATTACGTGGACTTCAGAGCAACAACAATCGCTAAGTTATGCAACATGGTGGTTAAAGTGTTACTAAACCCAGGATTTTGCGTTTACTATATCTGGTCTCCCACAGTACACGGAATATGGAAGTGCAGTTATTCTAGTATATATAAAGTGATAAATAGCTTTTCTCATCAGCAGTTAGAGCAGTCTTGTGACTTCTATCAGTGTCAAGCAGAGCACTGGTTAAAGCTTGTAGGAGGAGCTTTCTTTCTGCAGAACCCCTGACCTCTGTCTGGACAGTGCTGATTGGCCCTGTGCTGATCACATGCAGTCTCCCAAGAAAAAAAAACCTCTCTAGCAATACACGCTAATCTGAGCATATGCAGAGTGTCTCCACGTGATATGTCTTATCAGGAGATAAGAGGGGGACACTGGAAGAAGGGTAGGATTAGAGAAGTCAGGATCAAACAGCCTTTTTAACCGCTTTCAGCCCACCTGCTCGCAATGCACTGCAGCCCCGCGACTGCTGTGTTCCGCTGGATACAACGGAGTGAAGATCCCGGTAAATGGGACCCGGTGATCATGTGATCACTGTGTGATCACATGATCACAATGTAAGTAAAGCTGTTATGAATCAATCTCATTCATAACAGCTCTGCTTCTCCTCCTAGTGAGCTGTGATTGTCCCACAGCTGTCACATGATACATGGGGCCAATCACAGCACCCTGTACCATGTACCATGTGACCAGCTCCAGCCAATCACAGATCATTATCTTTAGTTGTCAAAAACCTAATTTATTCATGACAGTTCATGAATGAGTTAGGTTCATGACAGCAAGCTTTGCATTGCAGGATAAATTATCTTTATTTCTCCCGCAAACCTTTTCTTATCAGCAGTTAGAGCAGTCTTATGACTTCTATCAGTGACAAGCAGAGCACATGTTAAAGCTTGTAGGAGGAGATTTATTTCTCCTCTAGGAGGATGCAGAACCCCTGATCTCTGTCTGGAAAGTACTGATTGGCCCTGTGCTGATCACTTGCACTCTACCATGAAAAAAACCCCTCTCTAGCAATACCCACCAAATTGAGCATGTGCAGTATCTCCACACGATATGTCTTATCAGGAGATAAGAGGGGGACACTGGAAGAAGGGGAGGATCAGAGAAGAAAGGATCAAACAGCCTTATAACACAATGCAGAGGATTAACCCCTTAGGTTCCACAGTGAGTATAACAAACATGCTTTACTGCATATACGGACTGATTTTACTGTTGTGGGTTACTACCACTTTAAGTGGTTAGAGCTCTTATCTTACAAGGAAGGAAGCCTGGGTTCTCTTCCCACTATGGAATATGTATGTTTTCTCATATCTTTAGGGTTTGTTTCTGGTAATAAAAAAAAAAAACCCAAGTTGAATTTGCTCCACTAATATCCAAAGTGGAAATACTGTAAGTATACTCTATGTGACTTCAGCAGACTGCTTACATTGCAAGGTCTAAGGGAAGAGGTTGTTATAAATAGTTATGAGCTGAGTAAAATATGCCAGCATTATACAGTCCCACATCACAATAAAACAGTCAGGCTTAGTGGATGGGGTGTTTTGAACTCTGTATGTAATTCTACCATTACTTGCAAACAGGAATATATAATATGTATAACAGGTGGATAGCAGGCAAATGGCAGTCTTATCCCCAAAGCAGCCAGATTGCCGATTGCAAACACTGGACATGTTCTGTTAAAAGAGCAACTATTGTGAAATAATTTCTTTGAGACCACTCATGTAACATCCATGAATGTGGAACTAAAGGCAAAACTTTGTTTTTCATTTTGAATACAGTCAGGGAGGGTTATACCCGATTTTTGCCAACTGTGTCCCGTAGGGGAGATTTCCCTATATTTACCTTTCCCACAACCATAACAGACTATCACCGGGGTCACAGGGGGATTTCTTCTCTAATTCCTGTGCTGGTGACAAATCAAGAGGTGGTCTAATCCATCTCCACTCTATCCAAAACTAAAAAAAAAGTTTTGCCTATAGTTTAATCAGGGGCGGACTGACCATTTGGAAACTTGGGCACTGCCCGAGGGCCCGGGGTCAGTAGGGGGCCCCATGAGATGCCCCTGGTACCTTTTTCATAGGCTTTTTTGAGTTTGGGCAAGGACACAGGGGCCCCATGATCCCCTATTGCCCGGGGGCCCCATGAGTTGTCAGTCCGCCCCTGAGTTTAATAGAGAGTACATAAACTGTGTAAGTAATCCTTTTAACCAACTCCTGCCCACCATAAAAGGAAATGACGGACGGGAGGCGGCTCTCTTGTTCTGGGAGGACGTCATATGATGTCCTCCCACTATAACTGCGGAGGCACACAGCACAGCGATTGGTGGTGAGCTGTATCCCTGGGACACAGCAGATCACTGATCACAGTAAAGAGCAGATGACACGGGCTCTGTCATGTGATCAGCTGTGTCCAATCACAGCTGATCACATGTAAACAAGGAAATGCTGGTTATCGGCAGTCCTTTCCTCACGCTGACATCGCGTAAATGGCATTCCTCAGAGGGGACATGTACACTGATCAGTGCCCTGATAATCAGTGTAGCCTCATCAGTGCCACCTGTCAGTGCCCATCAATGCCACCTGTCAGTGCATATCAGAGCTGCTTTTCAGTGCCAATCAGTGCCAACTATCAGTGCCAATCATCGATGCCTATCAGTTCCAGTCAGCGATGCATATCACTGACTGTCAGTGCCGCCTATCAGTGCCCATCAGTGCTACCTAGCAGTTCCTCCTATCAGTGCCATATATGAGCGCTGCCTTTCAGTGCCCATCAGTGATGCCTCTCAATACCCACAAGTCATTCCTGTCAATGCCCATCGGTGCCACCTACCAGTGCTTCCTCATCAGTGCCGCCTATTAATGCCCACCAGTGCAGCCTATCAGTGCCCATCACTGCAGCCTCATTAGCTAACATCAGTGAAGAAGAAAAATTACTTGTTTACAAAATTAAATACCAGAAACTAAGAAAAAACTTTTTTTTCACAATTTTCAGTCTTTTTAAGTTTGTTTAGCAAAAAAACCCTAGTGGTGATAGAACACCACCAAAAGAAAGCTCTATCTGTCTAAAAATATTATAAAAATTTTGTTTGGGTACAGTGTTGCCTAACCGCGCAACTGTCATTCAAAGTGTGACAGCACTGAAAGCTGAAAATTGGCCTGGGCAGGAAGGGGGTAAAAGTGCCAGGTAAGTAAGTGGTTAAAGTACTTGTTTTAGAAAATTTCTTACATTCAATGTTACATGTCTAACTGCCCCAAAAGTGACTGCAATAATGACAGGAGATACTATTTCTGCAGGGTGGGGGTTAGCTGGTTCACGTTATACTAATGGTTAATGCCAATATTTTTTAAACAGGTAGGAAAAACCATTAGGACTTGTGGCAATGAGATATGAACAAAAGCCTGCTGACAAAGGCCCTCACTGATTCATGGCTGCCACGTAGATTTAGGTTCTTCCAGGTAGGATGAAGGACCATTCAGGGCAGTATATTTTATTTTGGTTTTTGGGTTTGACAAAACTCAAATCTAGGTAGATATAAACAACACAAATTAATTCAGCTCTGTATTTATTAATACATCATTAAAGGCTCTTTTAAAATTGCCAGCAGTGTAAGTACCTGAATTTGATCTGGTATCAACCTCTTCCAATCCCTCTACAGCAGGGCTGGAGTATTAAAGGCAGAAGCAGAACATGGCGCCAATCAGTTCATGTGCTAACAAGAAGCATGTTGATAGGAGGAGACGCATCGCTGTCCAGTCACAGGCTGGTGGTAAGTCCAGGACAACCTGGGCTCAGAGGAAGTTTGGTAAATGACAGCATTAAACAGAGGACATTTATCAGCATAACAAAATTACTGTGGATAAAGCATCTGGATTAAAGGACATTATGAAAGCAAAAGCTGATTTTGTTATTTTATTGGACTATTCATATGTATGCTGTTAATTTAGGCTGGAGATCTGTTTTAATGCACTTTAGCTGTTCTATTTGCCAGGGATGTACTGAATAAAGTTGTTCTGAATTATGGATACCATGAAAAAATATGTAGTGGTAACATAGTTTTTGCTCAATAATTAGCCTACCTTGCAAACAATATCTATTATTTAATATACAGTACTTTCTAGTGCAGTAAATTGAACTTTTTTGGGGTTATCTTTCACTTTCTTGTTTTTGCAGTGGTGTGAGTAGCCCCTATGTTACTGATAAATTAGCACCGATAAAGTGTCTCTACACAGTTAACCTTATTTCCCATAGTACTGAAACACTAAAACACAAATGTCAGTAACTTTTACTACAGTGACATTTTATTAATTAATCAGATTCTTTTGGAAATTGGTTTGTATGGTTGCCAATCTTTGTTATAAAATATAGTGTGATGGTACCTGTTAAGCCTTGAACCTATCTAGACTTTTATTTTATTTTACAACTAAAAAAATTGGTCAAAGCAGTACGTTTTCCTAATTCATAAAGGAGACCTCTACTTTCAAAACAAATCAAATGTCGAATTTTTAACTTCAGGTCTGGTCCTCTTTTCAGTTGGTCAGTAGCAAAATTGAGAGTTTTCATTTCCCCAAAACATTTTTGAAAATTAGTTTCTTTTTTAAGTCTTTATTTATTCGTGGCTTTGCAGATTACAGACATTATACAAAACACATGGTGCGTGAGGCTATGATAACACAATTGCAATAAGCCATTAAGTAGAAAAAATTGATAAAAGAACAAAAGCTGAGTTAAGCAAATTAAAAATAATAAAGAAAAACATTTTACTCGACTTCAGCTGCTGATCCAGAAACAACATTCAGTTAGGCTGAACTGACTCTCTCGTAGTCAAGTGCATAACATAACTTGATTAAGACTAGAATTTGTAACTGGTCTTTTAGTAGTTACGTATTTAACAATAACAAGAATCAGTAAGAGTAATGTAAAAAGGAGAAAACATCTCTGATCTAGTTATGCTGACAGCACGAAGGTTCTAAAGGGTGGGGTAGAGCTTGATCATACTCAAGAATGGGATTAGCCCATTTGAAATTTCAGATGAGGTAGGCTAACAGATAATTAGGAGGGTGGGGTAAGAGAAAAAGTAAATGAGAGAACAAAAAAGGGGAAAAAGGGGAAAAAGTGGAAAAAGGATAACAAGTAAACCAAAGGGTCACTCTACTTAGGTCCAACACTACTCAAGATCCGTAATCCAAGAGATGCCAATAAGGTGGCATTTCCAGTGGCCGACTCAGATTGGGAAAGGGTCTGCAAGTAGCCATTGGTGCTGCACCTCTCCCTAAAAGTTTCCTCATTGTTGTTTAGAGTGGCAGTCAGTTCCTCCGTGCGGAAGATGTTGATTTTGGAATACCACAGGACCCTAGGCGCAGGTTGTGGCTGCATCCAAAATGATAGAATACAGTCCTTGGCCACATTTATAAGATACATTGTGAGTGATTATTTATATTTCCAGATGAGTCTGTCCATCAAGTGAGGGAGACATGCAGCAGGGTTCCCACTAAGGTCAAGTGATGTCAGTTGTTTGATGGTGGTTATCACCTCCTCCCAAAAGGGCCACAATTTGGGACATTGCTAAAAGATATGAGACATTATGCCCACCGCTTAGTTGCAGCACCAGCAAGTATCTGGAATGCTGTCATCCATTTTGTGCAGCACATAAGGAACACGGTACCATCTTGAGAGAATTTTGTATCCCACTTCTTGGTACTGGGTTGCAATAGGAAGAGCTGGTCAACTTGTTGAGGGGTGACCTGGTTCCCAAAGTCCAATTCGCATTGGTGCATGAATGAAGGGAATGGGTCATCATTGAGCGCAGCCAGGACAGCATACAGCAATGAGAGGATATGCCTGGACAGTTCCCCTTTCCTGCAGAGTGATTCAAACAATGTTAGAGTGCATGGGGAATAGTGAGATCTTTGGAATGCCTTCAGACAGTGTCAGTTTGGGTAGTACTCCAGAAATCTAGAGGGCGGTCTGTAAGCCAGGCAAGGTAAGCTTGAGAGCAAAGCCCACCTTGAGGCCAGATATGTATGAGATGTGATTTCCCTTGTTGGCCTAATCTCCTGTTCTTGTTTGTAAAGTCC